AGCGTAAATATATTTTTATTGACGTCCATTGTATAACCAAGGCATTGAAACGAAATCGTAGTCCATTTTCATCGCAAATATTTTGTCATCAATTAAGTTTTTGTCGGAATTTTTGTCTTCACTCGTCTAATATTCTTCGTTTTGTCCTTTGTTAGCATGCTGCTTCACATTATTGTTAACGCTGCGCTTGCCAAGTCGAGGACCAAACCATAAACCTGAAGTAGGTCCAGCACGTTTCTCAAGTGCTTGTTGCAGTGCCAATAGACGAGCCCATTTACGCATTTCCGCATCAGTTCGACCTACACGAGGAAAGGTGATTAAATTAGCACGTTTGATTTCACTTTTGGGAAGGTCTAAAAAAAAATTAAATAAATTAATAAATTAATAATTAATAAATTAAATAATTCTAATCTACTTATTAATAATGTTTACTATAATTTTTATACCTTCATAATCCTCTAACGAGGGCTCATACAAATTGTCATCCATGTCGTGTAAATTATTTGTTAAGCTTGGATCGCTACGGCCAACGCGTGGGAAGGCATAAAGTCCGGAGGTAGCACCACCTCCACGTCTATTTTTGCTTTGTTCAAATTCTAGTTCAAATGAAAATAAAAAATTACATTTTTTTATATTTTTAGGCATAAATGTTGAATAAATTTAATGTTAAATAAACACAAAGTCGCCACAAAAGTTGTAAATAATAAATTTATTAAGTGTTGCACATATTTCGGAGATTCGCTATTCGTGGCTACTCTATTTAAATAAATTCAACAGCTGCTCCCGAACTCAAGGCGCAAACCAATTTATGTAGGCATTTGCTGGATAATTGATTTGGTTCCACTTTGGGAGCTATTAAAATGAAACGCCTAGCGGATGCAGTAATTTGTACATAATTGTAGGCAGTTGTAATAAATTTGCTATGTTTTCATCTACACAACGAAATATTAAAGTCTTTGGAGGTGGACTTTTAGAATGCAGTTAAGAAAATATATACAAACAATACATAAATTTTTTAATAAAAATTAAAAGTTCATTTCTATGTTATTTGTTAATACTGCAGATATTCGTTGTGTAGATGAAAACATAGCAAATTTATTACAATTGCCTACAATTATTTACAAATTACTGCATCCGCTAGGCGTTTCATTTTAATAGCTCCCAAAGTGGAACCAAATCAATTATCCAGCAAATGCCTACATAAATTGGTTTGCGCCTTGAGTTCGGGAGCAGCTGTTGAATTTATTTAAATGGAGTAGCCACAAATAGCGAATCTCCGAAATATGTGCAACACTTAATAAATTTATTATTTACAACTTTTGTGGCGACTTTGTGTTTATTTAACATTAAATTTATTCAACATTTATGCCTAAATATATATAAAAAAAAATAATTTTTTGTTGTCATTTCAACTAGAATTTGAACAAAGCAAAAATAGACGTGGAGGTGGTGCTACCTCCGGACTTTATGCCTTCCCACGCGTTGGCCGTAGCGATCCAAGCTTAACAAATAATTTACACGACATGGATGACAATTTGTATGAGCCCTCGTTAGAGGATTATGAAGGTATAAAAATTATAGTAAACATTATTAATAAGTATTATAGATTAGAATTATTTAATTTATTAATTATTAATTTATTAATTTATTTAATTTTTTTTTAGACCTTCCCAAAAGTGAAATCAAACGTGCTAATTTAATCACCTTTCCTCGTGTAGGTCGAACTGATGCGGAAATGCGTAAATGGGCTCGTCTATTGGCACTGCAACAAGCACTTGAGAAACGTGCTGGACCTACTTCCGGTTTATGGTTTGGTCCCCGACTTGGCAAGCGCAGCGTTAACAATAATGTGAAGCAGCATGCAAACAAAGGACAAAACGAGGAATATTAGACGAATGAAGACAAAAATTTCGACAAAAACTCTATTGATGACAAAATATTTGCGATGAAAATGGACTACGATTTCGTTTCAATGCCTTGGTTATACAATGGACGTCAATAAAAATATATTTACGCTATGATGCACACACTCAATTTTACAATTTATAAACAATATTTAACCAGAAAATAAAAATATATATTAAATAAATTAAAAAATATATAAGAAAACATTTTGCAAATCTTATACGCAGTTGCCCTTAATAATGTAAGAAAAAAGCAAAGAGATCAATTTTTGAATTTGTTAATTTTATTAATTTTTTTTTCAGCTTGATTCAGTAAATTAAAATAAATTTTTGTATTTAAAAAATAATTAAATTAAATTTATAAATAAAAATAAATTATTGAAATGCATTAAAGTGTTTGAAAATATCAGTGGGTTATGTTTTTGTTTTTTATAACTGGGCTGGTGTGGGTTTTCATTAATTGATGTTCTCAGAAATTATAATGATAATGTTAATTAATGAAAATCTTTATATATAAAAAACAAATATTTTCACTATTAACAACTAACAATGTATTTTCAACACTTTATTACATTCTATGAATATTAATCTGATTAATTATGATATTAGATTTTTAGCTTTAATAAGTAGAAAATAATTTAACTATATATACGCTACAATTTTTTTAATTAAATAAATCTATATATATATATTAAATGTTATTTTTGAGATGCTAAATTCCATAAAATAAATTTTATTGCGATTAATAAAAAACAAGAAAATAATGCACAGAAAGTGCCAAACGAATTTGGTGTTTTAATTTAAAACTAAAATATGAGAAATATATATATTAATGAATATATATCAAAAAGATAATATTTGAATTAATATATTTTATTTTTTTATTTATTGTATACAATTAACGCTACGTAGTGCACTGAATATTTTACTGTATTTATTGTATAGTCAATCAGTTGGGTTTGGTATGATAATAACCACTCAAACGTTGAACTTAGACAAATCACCAATAATTACCTAAATATTCCATATAAGAACTTACATATGATCCATAAGATAGCATATTTATAGTTACAGACAGTTTTCTAATAAACGATATCGCTTTTAGTAGTGGTTCTACGAGTTGGTCACATCAATCGTATCCAAATGTACCATGATCTGTAAAAGATTTACCACGACATTGACGTTATTAAACAAATTGACATCTCTCGGCTTCGCTGACTTGGTCATGTTGTGAATATAGATGAAGATGAGGCAACGAAAAGTGTATTTGCAGTAGCACTTAGAGGAATGAAAGTTGAGTAAGAAGAAAACCATGATTTCGTTGAGGGATTAAGTTCAGGAAGGCGCCTCAACTCCAGCAGAGGATCCCTACATCCAGGTTATGAAGGACAAAAAGGAAAAAAATTATAAAATACAAGTTGTAAATAAAAGTCATTGTGTAAACGAAATAAAGTTTGAAACATGATTTTTTAACTTTTTTTAGTTCACATGAGCCTAATAAGATGGTACCGAGTCCTGTTGGAACGTCCATGGCCTACGACCAAGATATTTTTCCGATAAACATTCCGAAACATTTCCAAAACATTTTTCCGATAATATCACGATTGACTTTGATACCAGGCTTGATGTAAATAATTGGAGAGCGTTTATGGACGGTCACAGCTGCCTATATCATTACTTGAGATGGATTACTTCGAGTGGTCATTCGTAGTCTTAAATTTTCGACAGTGCATTTAGTTAACTAAACACGATAATTTTAAGAGTTTATTAATGGCTCAATGAGGAAATTTTTCTTATCAGAGAACATAATATTTGAAAATTCGACACGTTCGTGCAAGAGTAATAATTCCTTTTCTGATTCGAGTCTAACCTTTTGTTGTTTTGGTATAAGATCTTGTGCTTTTTGGAACTTGTAAGGCTTTACCTTTAGCTCATTTTGGATTATGCGTCGGATTTCAAGTGACATTGCTGTGATATTTCAGGTCGCCATAGCGTTTGGCGACGCTGTCTGTACTATTATAATGATTTATGGTACAATACGCAAACATTTTATTCACTTTGAGGTGTTTTGACTCAAGATCAATAGCTGGTTGTGGTTTTCCAACGAATATATTCAATCACACTATTATATTTGAATTCTATTTCAGATAACTTTTGTTCTATACAACTTAGACGCAAATTCTTGTTGTAGCTTGTAAACAATATAAACAGTCTGACAGATATACCGGTGTGTAGTTGGTAACACTTCAATCGCCTATCCCTGTATATATAAATGCCTTATTCAGAAATAATTATTATTAATCTATATTGAGAGAATATATTATGTCGGAAGTTCCTATCCTCATCCGAAGCAAGAATGTTCTCAACAGCTGACATTTTAGAAGTTTCACTGTTCAGTTGGGATCGGCAAATAACACAAAGAATCAATAGTGCTAACAGCATTTCGTTCTTTGAAAGCCAGTAACCCCTTTATTTCTTATTCTGTTCTGTATCTGGTATGTCCCAATATAATTTTATGGAATCGGACAGGCCAAACTAGAGCAACAGAATAAATTTAAAATCGTTAATGGAGCTGGATAGAGCACACTCTCAGAAAGCCTAGCAGCAACATTGCTGGAAAGGTACTGAGATGAAACTCGAAACTTGATATCCTTGACCGGGGAATTTTGGAAAGCAAATTAAAGGATCCTAATTATTTATGGAACATTATATGAAATATGTCCCAATTGGTAGAAACTTACAGTTCTCTTCACTCTTTACTAGATATGAAACATGACCACTATATGTTATACAAGGCACTAACCTGGTCTAACATGTGTAGCTTATAGAATTGTGTCATCTTTGTGTCATACAGTAATCAGCTTTACATTATATACCCAACTGATATAGTGTTGTCATATTAATTGTCAAAGACATTAGAGACATGAAATTCAACCCCCATTTCCACGTACTGAACTAACCTTAGATTATTGATGACTACGAAAGCCTTAGTTCCTGTTTTCAATTTAGTACACTATCTCATTTTTTTGGATTTCTTTCTATTTGTATCTTTAATATCTACAAACATGTAATAAAATATTAAAATTTTATGCGACTAAGAACTATTAAATGCATTAAATTGCTTAAAATTAAATTTTTCATTTTTTATCTTCTTTGAATCTGCGTAGCTCATTTTGAATTGCCTCAATAATCGGTGCAGCTGAAGAATCTGTACGTTTTGCTTTCGATTTCAAACCAGAGCCCATAATTTTCGACATTGGATACTGTATTGGACCAGCACTCATTGGACGTACCAGTGTGGAGTGTGAATCATAAAGACTGCCACCCCAAGCGCCGGTGGTCGGTGATGGTGGCTGTGTTGATTGATTTGATTTAGGCGTTGTTTTTGGTTGTGCGGTGGACGGACGTATATCAAAACTATGCGGTCTGCTACTATAACTAAAAATAATAATATATTTAACTAATATATTTAACTTGAACGAAAAACAAACCTTGGTATACCAGCGGAAGAGCCACGATTCTCACGTTTAGTAGGCTTGCGATTATTAGTGAAATCTCTTGTGGGTAATGGCATGGGCAAATCATCGTGGCTGGTATACATTTGCATGGCGCCTTCGAGTAAATCTCCGTAATGATTTCGTATAGAAGCAGGATCACGAATCGGACTAAAATTCGAACCTGCATAAACTCCATCGTCTAAGTTTAAGTTGAAAAAAATGTAAAAGAAAACGAAAGGAATGGGAAGAAGACAAAAGGAAGTTGAGTGTTGAAATTCCGTTGTATTTGAGAGTTGCTTATGTACAATTTACGAATAAAAGTGAGATAGTTAGTTTAGGCTATTCGATTTGCAATAACTAAATTTGTACTACTTTCAACTACTTCAGTAAAAAATTACTAAAATCGTGCACGTTGCTCTAGACTTGGCGCACTGTTTTTATCATTACCAGTTTCTTTATCGCCACTCATTGATTTCTTATGTCTCTCCCAAACAATCGGACCCACAACACCAGGATCGGCATTATCACTTTGGGAGGTTAATCTTTGAGTTTTCATCGGTGCTTTCGGTATTGGAAAACTTTCAATGGTTGCAATAGTTGTACCATCCAGCGAATCTTTTTGGCTACGTTGTCGACGTTGTGACTTATGTGATTTACCAGATGGGGGCACTGTGTTCTCCACATTATCATAATATGTAACAAAAACTGGATCTAAGACGCGATTTAGTGGTTCCGGCAGAGTATTCTTTGGAAATGCTTTTACAGATGCCATGGAAAGAAATGAACCAATACTACCAGTATCTGAAGACTTTTCCGATGGTTGTAATGTACGTATAATTTCTTTGTTAATAGCTTCAGTGGTCTGTAATTGATGCACACCTTTTGAATGGCTAGGCTCGGGATCAACATAGAAGCTCTTTTGATGTAACAGCTTATTACGATGGTAGTTATTATGTGGATTGTAAGCTTCTGCACGCTCGTAGTTTTGATAAGCACCAGGTACAGATACTGTATCACCATCTACAGATTCTGTTGCAATATCGTCACCTGATGAGTTTCCAAGCCGTTGGACTGGGCTTGTCTCGAGTGAACCCACACGATTTTCCGATAAATAACGTCGCTTAGTTTTGTAACGCTGCTTTTCTCGTTTTTTCTCTGATAGAATGGTAGTGTAAGCGGTTTCTTCGCGTCCCTCCGCATGGTCATATTGGTGATGTCGCCTTTTGTGGCGTTCAAATAAGTTAGCAGCTTTTTCGTCTAAAATACGCTGAACGTCTGCAGTCGGTGGATTTATAGGACAATAAACAGATGAATCTGATGTGTTATCTGTAGAAGTAATAGAGCCACGTCTATTTTGTGGTGGACCTGGAAACTGTATACGTGCTTCTCTACTTCTATGTATTTGCTCCTTCTCGAACGACATATTTTGTACACCAACATCGCGAGAATGTATCGTGGAGCGTTCTGTATCTAAAACAGTAGCACTTGATGTTACTCTACCTGACTGGTTCTCACTTAGTAGCTCATTACGACTTGTTGATCTGAAAATGTGTTTAAATGATTATTTCTTATCAGAAAAGGCTACAGCATCGGCGCTTACCTAGTATTCTCAATATGTTTCTCACGTACATGAGAACGACCCATTAGCAAGAGAGCAATGAGCAGTAATAGAAGCAACAGGAGAGCAATGGAACTGACAACAACCAACGCAGTGTTGTTTTGTATAGAATCAATAAAGCCAACTGAACCGCTGCGTGTAGCTGGAGCAAGTGGAGTAGCTTGAGGTTCACGTAAATAAGCTGAAATAGTACATTATATAATTATATGATGTATAGTATTTTTATATACAATGTGTTTAATATATATATTGCCTTACAGATATGTGTATTTATTATAAATATAAACTTACGTTCGGCTTTCATATAAATCTCTTTTCCAATCACATCTGAAACTTCTGCTTCACTTACTAATTTCATGTCATTTGCGGCCGTCGATGCCAAAACCGGACGACCATTAACAAAAACTGAATAGATCAGTTCGGTTTGGTTCGCAATTGGACGTTCATCTCTAAGAATTATTAATATAGGTGAATAATTAAAATAAATACTTCAAGCTTTATACTTACAATTTACTATTAACATCGTCATCATATGTATTTCCGAAATTGCCGCTCTGCACATCATCCTCTGTAATTTGACTGATATTATGTATCACAATACGTACATGATCATTTCTGAAGACTGGGTGAGGTGAATGTGTTGGACTAAATGGATTAAGTATAGCTGCCGCTTTACTTTTTTCTGATTTCTCTGATTTGCCATTTTGCTGTATCAATTCCCAAGGTAAGAAAGTCACATAATCTGTGGCTTCACTTGTAGATTGTTTTTCTATAGTTGTAATTACTGTACTGGTTAAATGTGTATCCATTTCACTCTCCTCGGAAGACACTAATTCCGATTTGGTATTTCTTATTTGATTAAGGGAAATATTTTGAGTAATAGGTATGTTATCTTTGGCCATATCAACAATTTCAATATCGGATACTGATGCTGGAGGGGAATATGAGACATTAAAAAATTTAAAAATTAAGAAAATTTAATTAACATTTCTTACTTCTTGCGGTTGTACTGCTTAAAATTGGTTCATCATTATTTTCTCTTCTTTCTCTACCGATTGGCACAGAAAGTCCTGCTATTTCCTGAATGCCATTAATACCCAAATGTCTAGATTGCTGTCTATTATAATAAAACATAAAATAATATATAATTGTATAATAATATAATACATGTGTTTTTTACATGCATGTACTTAATATAGCAAACGATTTGTCATGTATTTAATATACTTACCTTGTAAATGCTAAACGATAGAGCCTTGCCAATTTTTCTTCTAGCATTGGATTATCTTTCTGTGAGTAGAATCCTGACATTACTGTAAGCAGCCAATATCGTCTATCTGTAGCCGAATAATTATGTGGCAGTGCTTCTTTGAAACCCCAATTGCCATTGTTACCTCCACCTCCATCGTCTGGTAGACAATCCAAACAAATTGGTATGTCTATTTCCTATAGGATGCAATAAAATAAACGGTCCAAAGTTTTCATAGAAATAAAAGTTAGTTGTTTTGTAGAAAAATTTTTACCGCGACAAGGATAACAACTAAATATTTAATTTTGATTTATTTATATGAAAATTCACTTGACTTATATATTAAATATAAACATATATATCTACCTTTATTAAAAATTTAATTACAATTGCAGATTTTAAAATTTTTCGCCGTTAATTAGTCTAGTCTAACTGATATAAAATAAGCAGTCATAGTTTGTAGAATCTCTCCCAGATATTTCTGACATTCACTGTAAGTTACATCTGAACTGTATATATCTGTTATCAGTTAAAAATAGTACTCTTCAACACTACAAATATTGTTTAATAGTATTGTATAGATAGAAAAATTGCATTTAAGCATGTACATAAACGCTTGCTACCATATATGTACTATTTTTCCATATATAGATGATTAAATTAATAATTCTCATTAAGTTTAAAAACATCAATATGCATTCAGAAAATATAGATTAGATATACTCTCCACCAGTATGAAAACTGGTGAAAGCAGACGTTTCATGTTTTTATATAAATGGCTACTATAACTCAAAGCTGCCTTAGTGGCAACCGGAAAAGTTAATGTAATTGAACTTTCGCCATAGGGAATCTGAAGCCAGCCTTGTGATAGCTATAAAAAATAGCAACTGTGAATTTTTATCTATGGGGAGCATGAATTTGTCGTCAAGTTTGCTATAGTCGATATATGAGAGGAAACATAAACTATTAGTTTAGAGATATATATTTGGTAGATAAATTATTCGATATTACAGTGGCAAGATAGTTCTAGATTTTTTATACAATTAGATTATAAATGTTGTTAAAAAATAAACACATTTTGTGTAATTACACTAATTTTATATATAATATTGTTATATATAATATTGCAAGTATATTTCACATTTAAGCTATAGATATAACTGATATTTAAAAATATGTATTATTGTATATTATTCCATATATTGAGGTATATTAACAATTATATATGTATGTATGTATCAATATCAATAAATGAACGAAATTTTTGTTGTTGTCTTTACATTTCTATTCGAACTCTTCTAACTTTTAAATTATTTCTTTAAATCAAAAGACATGTCAGTCTCGGTAAGAAAAAATTAAAAATTAAATAATTATGTATGTAATTGTATAAATTATAAGATACTATCATATGCTAAATATTAGCTCAACTTACATTGTTGCCATCCACATAAACAGTTGCAACTACAGTTTCCGTTTTAACAATCACATCTTTGCCTTTACTGATGCCTGTGTGTACTTTCTTTAAATAGTCCGGTGGTGCATCGCCTGAACCTGTCCAAAAGAAATCTTCCAAATGAATTTCCTCTTGCATTTCCGGATAATCTTCACCAAGATCATCTTTAAATAAAAGTAAAAGTTTATTTATTATAGATTAATATTTAAAATCGAATTTCTCAATTTGTGTTTGTCCTTGTCATGTGTAAGAACATAAACTTATATATATATAGATATAGATATAGAAGTGCATATTTCTATTAAAAAATATTCTAAAAAAGTATCTAAAAAAAACTTTATTAACTTTTGTCTGCATAGTTTTCAGTCACAACGTGTTGTTGTTGTAGTTGCTATAGAAATTCCTATTTGGCGCATTTAACTTTTGGGTATTTTATTTTTATATCGATAAATCTTTACGTGTTACCACTCGTAACGTTGTTTAATCAATTTCCGTAATGAGGTCTTATTATGTTTACTAAAAAAAATAAAAAGAATTACTTTCGCAATATAATAAGAATAAAATCACATAACTCTGAAATAGTTATTTGATTTAAAATGATTCTTTCATTTGTTCATCTATTCAATATAATATTAAATAAAAAAATCGAGATAATATATTATTATTTTTTATTTGATCAACTAAACTTTCGGGTTTATCTTATTTACTATCTATTCACTCTTATCACTCTTTAAGACAGCCAAATTTAAATATTATCACATTCAATTATTTTGTCCTAAAAGTTTTATTCAAGTGAAAGCAACTTCGTTTAAATGCCACTAACACCTGTTTACACTTAGACTTATCGAACACCATTAACATACTTTTTAATGTGGATTTTGTATGGATTTTGTATGGATTTTGTATAAAAAAGTGCTCATATGGCTACATATATGTCAAGTTAAATACAATAAGCTGAAAATAATATTACAATTAATTGTCTCGTATATCTCTAGTAAAAAGTAATACTTCCTTTTATAGTTATCTCATATATTTATATTGTTTTAAATTATATTATTATATTATTTTAATTACTTTAAAATATATACTTAAAAAAAAAGCACCAACTTATAAAGTTGTTTATGCTAACTCATACTTTATACAACTTTAATTAGCTTGGTATTACAATAGTTGGTTCTGTTGGTCACTGACCTTAATTGGGCGGCATTTGATTATACCTCCAACCCATTAAATTAGTTACTTTTTATTAACATGTTTATATTCAAAGTGTACAAATTATTATTTTTATTGATTGCCCCAAATATAAATGGAAGGAAGTAAGAGGGACTTTTTTCTATGGAATATATATGTACAATATGTGAATGAATTCATCAAATATTTACAATGAACCATATGTGTCAAAAATAAATACGGAATATAGTTTATTTCATTATTTCATTTAATATATAAATTGAATATAAAAATTAATTTTCGTGAAGTGCTTTTTTAGTTTTGGAGACAAAGTAAAATATTCTTTATAAATGTAATAGTATATATACGTATTAGCATTTCGAAAGCCGTCCTTTTATTCTATATGTACTGTATATAAGGTACTATGAGTTTATTAGTTACCACAAGATATTTACCTCGATATCTATGAATTACTTAATTTGGATCATACACTTAATCTTTTGGTCTTTAATTTTAACGACAGATACAATACATTTCTTTTAAGTTTTTTATGTTCATCTATAATTTACTAGTCAAGTATTCACTCACTTAAAATTTGATAACAACCTTAACATCATAACTAGTACAAAAGGAGATTAGAACAAAAATTTAATTACAACATATGTAAAGGTAGGAACTTACACTAGAAGTCAATGATTAATTGAGATGGAGACTGTTAAATCTACTTCGTGAACCTATGAACTTATTTATCCTATCACCCAAAATATCGTATTATTGGCTCTCATAAGAGCCTGTTCTCTGGTTGAGAAAATGGCTTTTCTAAAAAATGAAATCTATATTCTTACAAACAATCAAACAGCCATCAAAACTATTTCAACCATCTGCCTCTTATCAAAGAATGTAAGGGATTTATCAACTTATTAGATAACTTATTAGCACATCCAACGTAATTATAATTTGAGTCATTAAGTATACTGAGCAAGGAGCGTGCTGTTGAGGTTGTAAGACAAATAATCTCAATGCTGGAACGCCTTCTTGTTTTGATTCTCGATAGTCAGAGATGAAGATTGATATTTTATCACTTTTTGCGACTACATAAGAGTTAATAATAAAAGTTATTTTTTCAGCAGCTACGTACTCGCCATTATATGATCGTGTTCTCCAAGCTACGATCTTGGAATTCCGAAAGATGAAGAATATATTCTCACAGACAGTTACACAGCTATCAAAACTATTTTATCAGTCTGCATCAAATAGTTAAAGTCTAATATAGTTTACATATGTAGACAATTTCCCAGCTTACTTCCAAGTATTCCAAAGCTAACTCTGTTATGGGTAGAAACAATAACGATTTTTAGGGGACTATGTACTAGGGGATCGGGCGTACCCTGTCTGAGTCCTGTAGATCGTGTTTGCTTATGTTTATATACAGAAGTAAATTAAATTATTAAACCATTCAAAACCACATTATTTTAATATTTTAAAATTAATTTTTTATTAGTCATATGAGTAACTATGCCTTCTATTCAACTATAAACTTCAGTATATAAAGTTCCATCTAAACATTGTATTTTGGTTGAGCCTATAAACTACTTAAATAGTTCACATTACACAATGGAATGAAAAAATTTAGTATTAGAACGAACTAGCCTAGACTTATTATTATGCAAACTAATGTTCTATCTACACTTTCACCACAATTGTGACTGCTGATGTGGAACATTAAAGGTCAGCGTGACTGTTAACCTGAACAAGATTAACATGTCGCCTTTGACCATAGCCAAAATGTACATTTCAATAAAAAGTGTGAATTTTAAAACTATTTACTGTGAAAATAAAAATTCTGTTTTTTTTTATTGTTGAATATTAAAATATTTCAATAAAATTTCAATAGGGAAAAAAAATAATATAAACACTCTTAAAATCAACCTACCGTGACTTATTTGTATAAGTGGCAGACCAACATCGGCAATGGAGCATTTCCATGAGACACCAAGGAACAAAGAGATTGTCAAAAATTTTTGGAAAAACCTCATCACAGCACTACACTTAGTTTTTTTTTAAACAAATTTTCTTTCGCACTTTTTTCAAAAAAAAAATAATAATTTTAAAAATTGTTAATGGCTTTCAACTAGCAAACCAAGTTCACATTATGAGGCAGACGAAAAGTGAATATTAATAATGTTAAATAATTTTATTTAAATTCTAAATAACATTTTATTATATTAATATACATATTATATATTAAAATAATACTCTTATACATTTTTCACTAATAAATTTTTTTTACTTCTAATTATTTGCAATTATTTATTTATTTATTTTTAATTGGAAGTCATATAATTTTTTTCACTATTCACTTTAATATTTTTAATATATATGATTTATATATTATATATATGATATACACTAAATTTATTTCGTTTTAATTTTTTTATTTTCCGATATTTTCACTCTCTCCGTCAATTGCTGCTCCCGTACTGATTCATAGCTTTCAGTTTATTCTACTCGCTGCTTGACTTGTCTAAACTATATTAGCGTTACTAGAACCGTTGGGCGCTGCGACGACTGACTTTGGTGGTAGTAACAGTATCCGTAGTAATTTGCCTACAATCTGCCCCGTAGTCGCTAGTTATTAGTTGTGACTCTCTCACCGCCTGAGCATTTTCCGTTTAATTTTATTTTGTTGGAATTGTTTTGTTTGGGCCGCTTTGTGCCTGGTCAGTTACCTGTGGCAACAATATCAACTCGGAAAGCGTCAAGCGTGCAACAATGGTTCTGTTTGGCTTTTTGGATAGGCAAATACTGCCGCCAACTCAGTTTGTTTACCTTTTTGCAAGATTTTTTTTTAATTTTTTTTATTGTTTTGACTCAAACTAAGCCTGTTTATTGCTGAGAAGCAATGTGTTCCAGCTCTGTTAAAAATATTGAAC